AAACAGCTCAACCGTCTCGGAGAGTAACTTTAGCAAGGCAGACAGTACACACAGTCGCGAAAGTCATTATAGCGAGGTGGAAAACACTTACAGCAAGAACAAGAGTAAGAAGAGCAGAGCTAGAAGAGATTCTGAAGCTATGCCACCACCCCCTCTTCCTTCTGCTAAACCTGCCCTACGACGACCAACAGTCGAAATGCCAGTCTACGATGACAACCTCTCTCAATATAGTGTTGAAGAGTACCATGAAGAGACTCCTCGCCCAGCACAACGTCCTCGCCGACCAAGTCCTCATCGAAACTCCATTTCTTATGATGTGAGCGACCTACCAAGAGAAGCAGAGAGGTTCAAAGTTGAGACAGCCAGCAAGAACAAGCGCCGTCAAAGTTACTATGGACAATCAACATCTGCTTCATCCACTCAAGCATCTACTTCAGGATCAAGTGGCTATAACGCAAAACTTTCTGCGGCAGCTAATTATCTTGAGGAAGTTAGTGGTCCATCTATCCCACTGACTGCCGAGGCTTTGAGAAAGGAACAACGAAGACAGGCTGCAGGTAGCAGCAGAAGCACAAAGAGCAGTGAGAGTCGTGATCTAAGTGATTACCGAGGCACACAAACCACTCGTACTACTCGAAGCGGTGGTGATGATGATGTTACTATTGAGGTAACTGGTCAAGCTACGGTCACAGTTGGTGGAGCGGAGATTCATTGCGAAGACGGAGGAAAAATCCAAATCCACCGTTCCGAAAAGATTCGCGATGGAAGTCAAGCAACTACGTCGGAATATGGACAAGGACAAGGATACGGACACGGACATGGACCTAAATTAATTGATGATCGTGATCGCCGAAGCCGACTTGACCGAAGTGATAGTCAAACAACTCGACCTCGCATGAGATCACAACATTCTTACAACCGAGTCTCACCTAGACCTCACGATAGGGAGCGAATACCTCGTGAACGTCGTGAGTCACCTAGATCTAGCGATAGGGATCGAGCACCACGTGAACGTCGTGAGGATTATGAAGCTCGCGCTGCCAATTGGGAGACAACAACTACCTCAACCCGGATTTAATCTTTACAAATTCATAATTCACTTCAATGAGCGATTTATTTCTTGGAATTCGTTTTAGCGATATTTTGTTGGCGATTTCATATCATTTCTTTGAATTATCTTCTTTACTTTTTCTCTTGTGCATATTGTTCGGTTGGTGTTACTTTCTCCTCTTCTTTGGGTTTTCAGAAAAGCGGAAAAAGTTTATACCCCAAAAGCACTTTGAGAGCAATTTTCTATTCTATTCTATGCTGTTTTATTTTCTTTATGTTGGAAATGGAAATGGAAATGTTTCAATATGATGAATATACGATTGTATGAGTTATGGTTATGAATGTTTTAAATTTCTTTCATCTTCACTTTAGCGATTATTTTGATTTTTGGTTTGAGTGTTGGGATTAGGATTGGGATGAAAGACAGATGCATGCATATTTGCTAGCAATGGCAGCATGTACGATAGGAATATGGAGAGATCTGTTTTTTAAGATTTGGGTTTGGGCGTACATGGCTGGTACATGAGATTTGGAATGGTATGATATGTGAAGGATGGGAAGGGGATATGGATAAATGGATGTGTGGATGATGTATGGCTGTTTGGATGTATGGACGGGTGGACAGATGGCTGGATGGATGGATGGACGGATGGATGGGTGGGTGGACGGGCGGACGGGCGAATGGATAGGGACACCTTTGATTTGAACTGGGGGTTCAGATCAAAGTTGTATCTATTCAAATGGGAATCAGATGTTTCAGGATTGCGATTGGTAGGATTATTGGATTGGGTTGATTGGATTGGATTGGATTGATTGGATTGGATCGGATTGATTGGTTGATTGATATTTATAGTGTTATGATGACTTTAGGATAGTTTTAAAATATGATACCCCCTTATATTTTCTATTCTGAATACAAACATACTTGGTATCTAAAGTGAATTTATACTATCTTGGTATTCATTATCAATTGAAAGCCGATATATGTGAATGCGATGTGATTATTCATCGTATAACATATTAACTATCTAGATAGCTAGATAGATATAATAATAATATAGTAATAAAAGTAAAATTAATATATAATATAACTTTTAAATATTATTTTATATTATTAAATAAATATAATACCAGGGTGTTACGAGGTTTGCCGTCTAGATCATGTGGAAGTGCTCTGGGCTCTTGAGGTGGTTTATAACTAAGCGTCAAAAAGGGACTTAAGTAATGACAATGATGCAATTCGTAACTAATAGTAGAGTATACTAAATGATTGATCTTGAGCACGAAGCTCTACAGTAGAGAAATCCATCCTGGTTATATAGACTTTCGTGCCTATGGCAAGTCAGGACCGCCAGCGCTCCTCAGCGGTCCGCCCCGAGCGTTAAGGTCACGTTACCCTAAGTTAGTCATGTGA